AAAAAAAAAAAAAAAAAAAGTAAGGTTTAGGGTTTAGGGGTAGAAGACTCAAAAAAGCCCTCAAACAACCCTAAACCTCGAAACCCAAAATTCCCAAACCGAAGTCTTCGAGGTATTTGCAGTATATCGACTAATAGGACCTGCCTGAACTATTCTTCGAGCCCGAGAACTTTGGACTTTTTTGGAGCCTCGGGCCTACCCTGGGTTGAGGGCTTTGTTGGGGCTTGGGTTCGGGGATGAGGCTTGAGGGCATAAGGGCTTGAGGGCTTCGGGTTTAGGGTTTAGGGTTCAGAGGCCCTAAGAAATATCAAATGGGGTGAAGCTTATACGGGACACGGACACTACAGTCTCTGGGCTTCCAAGATAATCCCACCCGATGGAGATGCAACTGCCGGTTGCAAGAGGCTGAGCAGGGATTGTTTTCTGATTCCGCATCATTCCTTTGCTGGGACAGATGAAAGCACTTTCCGAGTTATTGTCTTGTGGTTTAGGATTTCGGCCTGCTGTATTCTTGGTGTCCGCGACTTGGCGTCGTCGCTAGAACCCCCTCATGCCAATGCAGATACCGCGTGCCGGCCTGCGACAGCCAACGCACGGAAGACTAGTAAGTTAGGGATGTGGAACCATAGAATCCGTAGAATCCATAGAAGCCTAAACCGAAGCCCTAACCCTAAACCCCAAACCCTAAGCCCTAAACCCCAAAGCCTAAACAGCCCCGAGCTCATATCCGAACCCAAGATTACGGCGGTTCTGGTCGAGAACGCGTTGGAGTTCGCAGCCCATGAGGCACAAGAGCTCTTGGTTCGATTCGTCCTGCTTCATTAGGGTTTAGGGTTCAGGGTTTAGGGGGTTTAGGGCTTAGGGTTTACATCGAAGGCTTATCTTGTCTGTTTTCTGCCGGGTTGTTACGGTTTTAAGGTTTCGTATTTCTAGAAAATGCCTGCAACAAGTGTCAATTTCTGCAGGCCCTAAACCCTAAACGACCATTCAATTTGCACGGTTTTAAGTGTTTTAAAGTGATCCAGTGATCCACACAAACTGCAGGCCAAAATCCAAGGACCGCTCGAATTGGAGATTTAGGATTTAGGTTGGGTTGAGGGTGTTTGTAAAGGGCTTAGGGTTTTATAGGGCTTGGGGTTTATGTGAGGTGTATAGTATTTAGATAGGGTTTAGAGTTGGTAAAGGGTTGGGGTTATATAGGGCTTCGGATTTAAGCAGGTCTTTCTGGGTAGGTTTTGGGGAGAAGTCAGCTGCGAAACTTGTCGCATGACCTGTCGCCGCAGGCCGAAGCCGAACGAATCAAGACCAAGCAGCGGGCTCTCTGGCCTGCATGTACCGACGTAAATACTTACCCAGACCCCCGAAGATCCCTTAGTGGAAGAATAAATATGCCTTAAAGCATCTTAGGGATACAGTACAAATTAAGGTATATGCTCCTTTTTTGTTAAGGGATTTTGGAGGGTCTGTGTTTACCCTCAACCCTAAACCCTAGTCAATACGGGTAGTTCTCTTAATTTAGGATCCCGTTTAGGGTCTGGTGCCGTGCTATATCGGGGACCTAAAACGGGACCTCAATTTAGGGAACCCTAAACCCTGAACCTAAACCCGAAACCCTAAACTATTTACGGAACTATGCTATGCAAGCCTCTGAAGTCAGGTCAAGGAAGCGCTCCCCCGGCTCTTGGAGATTTTCAACGAAATCGACGAGGCATCCCAGTCCCTGTAAATTTAGGGTTGGGGGCGTAAGGTTTAGGGTTTGGGGTCTAGTTTTTTTTTGTTTTTGTGCGATTTCTTTCGGTGCTCTTTAAAGGGGATCATTACTGGTCTAATATAAAGTGCCCTGACAGTTGCTTTTCACAAGGCGCCGGTCGCCTTTCCCCAAACAGTTCAGAATAGAGTATTTGGGACCCAAAAGCCTCATTGTTGCTACAATGGACCCTGTGGTACTGAGAGCAAAGTGAAGAGTTCCGGTAGGGGGTTAGGGGTGTGGAGCAAAGGATTTAGGGTGTTCGCCTCAGTGAGGGTTTCCTCGCGACTCAGAGGGCTAGAATCTATAGCTTCCGCCTCCTTAAACCCTATAAACCCTAAGCTTTAAACCCTGAACCCTAAACCCATAGATAGAGGTGCGTGTGGTTTCCGGTTTCGGACCTTCAGGCTGGAGCATTCGGATTGAGGGTTTAGATATTCAGGGGCTAGAGTTTAGGTTTTAGGGATTTAGGGCTGAGGGTTTAGATGGTTAGGGTGTAATTATGACAATCACAACTCCTGTTTCAACATTCCACACTTACTCCAAACCCTCGAAAACACCAGAGCCCCTGAAGCCCTCAAAGCCTTGTGGCTATGCTCGGACTTTGTCGCGCAGAAGGTTTCATAGCCAAACCGCTCTACGAATTCGTATGCGCACCTACAGTACAATAAGTACGTACACGTGAACCAGGTGAGGGTGTAGGGTTTAGGGTTTAGGGTGTAGGGTTTAGGGTTTAGGGTTTAGGGTTTAGGATGTAGGGTTTAGGGTTTAGGTTTAGGGTTTAGGGTGAGTCTGAAGATGTTGCAAGAGTTTGTTACCACGTCTTTCCGCAACCTGACGCACGTCAAAATCCATCCGAGGCCCTGGTGAAACATGCATAGAGCTCTTTTAAAGCATTGTTAGTCCCTGCTTGAGCCCGCTTACCCTAAACCCTAAACCCTAAAGCCGAAGCCCTAGACCCTAAATGAACCCTAAACCCTAAACCCGAAACCCTAAACCCAACTCCTAAACCCTAAACCCTAAACCCTAAACCCTAAACCCTAAACCCACGTCTGATTCGCTTTCAGGATGCTTCGGGATGCGTCACGCACGACGAGATCGAGAAGGCCAGAGCGTTAGTGGCGGCACAGACTGGGCTACGCCCCTAAACGGTTTAGGGTTTAGGGTTTAGGGATTAGGGTTTAGGGTTTAGGGTTTAGGGGCATAGTTGGAGTACAATACAGAAACACTAGATAAAATGGTTATCATTATCCCTTGTGGTCACCATCGGTGGGTGGGGGGCCGTACGAGCTTTACTTGGTCTTACAGGACGTCCTATGTCAAACGATTTGTTTAAATTACACAAGAAAGAATTGTAGAGGTAAAAAGCAGATAAACCACAACGATACATACATACATACATACATACATACATACATACATACATACATACATACATACATACGTACATACATACATACATACATACATACATACGTATACAGAAGCTCAAACAAATAAGCAGAGAGAGAGATGCATATACAAATATACATATATACACATTTCTTTATTTACAGATTTGTTTTTCATTCATGAATACATGCGTGTGGGTATGCATATATTCACACCCACGCCCTTCGATTCATGCTTAAGGTTGTAGGGGTTAGGATTGAGACTGAAGGCTTGTGGAGTTGAGTGTTTTCGGGCGCGGGTGGAAGGGTCGTCAAGCTTGCTTTGGAAGGACTGACAGACTGACATACACCCCGACCGGGATCACCCAAAAGCCCCAAAAGGTTAGCCCTTCTCGTATAGGTGTAGGGTTGGGTTCTGGACCTCTCCAACGCCGGGTCCTGCAACACCTGAAGCCACAGCGTTTGAGTCAAACAGCCCAAGATGGATCCAGGTTTCTGTGGACGTCTTGCCGCCGCGGCTCTTGGAAACTGTATCAGTGGCAGACTGGCTGCAACTCTGTGTATGCGCTGTGCAAGAAGACAAGATAACCACCAGAGGATAGTTAGAACACGACGCCAACTGAATGAGTCATGAAGTCACGGCTCTATGCATCTTGCAAAATGTCTAGAAAAAATGAGCCTTGAAGAGAAGCAAACTTGTGTGTGCATGCGCGCCCGTGTTTGTGTACATGCAAAGCTGTGTTGTGCTAACACAGAACAACTCCGCACAAATCGGCATTGCAAGGGAACTATGATGGGAACCCTCGCTTAGAGAAGTCTTCATATTATCACCGTTCTAAGAAGAAAGACTTTCTGGGGCCAGATCTCGCTATGCTGCATGTCCGACACCCAAGCGCTGGTTGGGTGCTTGTATGTTGGTGCTTGAAATGTCAAACCCTCTTCTCATTATCCACGGCTCTGAAGTATAAGGCACTTTGCAAGTCTTTTATGCGAAGCTCAACAAGCCCTGTAAGCATAGCCTTCAAACCTGCATCCCTAAACCCGACAAACCCTCACAACCCCAAAGTTCAACCCAAAGACCTCCATACCCCCAAAGCCCACCCCAAACTTGAACCTGCAAACCTCTACCCCCCCCCCCCCCCCC